TCCAACTCAAAAAAAAAAAAAAAAAAGATATACTATAATGAATGGTGTAACTATGGTAGAAAGACAGAGAAAAGAAAATGAGGTAGATGGAAATCTGGAAGAACAGAAGTAGAACCATATTACTGCAGCATTATAGAGGCAGAGGTGGAGGGAGGAAGTTTCAAGAAGAAGGATGATGAGTGATGTACAAGACCATAATAAGATCAAGAACTGAGCAAAGATTATTAGATATGGCAATTTGAAAATCATTAAGCTCCAGCAAATAGTTTTGATAGAGTGGAGAGAAGTCATAAACTGTAGCTGGGGACAAGGGGTAAATAAAGTCAGAAGGTGAAAAGAGAAAAGTAAAGATTAGCAATTAATGGAAAGAGAGAAAAAAAGAATAGCCAAGTTGAGTGATAGAGTTGTGGTGGTTTTCAGTTTTTGTTTTGCTTCGTTTTTTAAGAAGTGGGGAGAGGTGAAAATGTTTGGGAGCTAAAAGAAAAGTGTCAGTAGAGGAGCAATTGTAAATAAGGAAAACACAGAGAGAAGTTAAATGGTGAAGAAACTTCCTGCAGGAGGTAAGAGAGAATGTGTTCTTAAAGAACTAGGTACAAAGGAGGGACAGTTCTTCATCTAAGGCAATAGAAGGAGAAATGGGTAATGAAACAGATCTTTGAGGTAAACCCAAATCGAAGACACTCATATCCCGTCACTGTAGCTATTTAAAGCGGGAGTTTGACAAACTATGACCTGTGAACTAAATCTGGCCTGCTTCTGTTTTTGTACAGCCCACAAGCTAAGAATGGCTTGTATATTTTTTAGCAGTTGGGAAAAAAAGAATATTTTAGACATCAAAATAATTTGTTACATGTGAAAATTATATAAAACTTCAGTTTCTGTGTTCATTAATAAAGTTTTATTGGAACACAGCCACCTTTATTTTTGTACATATTATTGTGACTGCTTTTGCCTGTAACAGCAGAATTGGATAATTTGCACTGAGACCATATGTGGGACTCTCTTGCTTCATTTCTGCTCTGCACACTATAAATCTCAACTTAGTCATAACTTAACGCATGTTGAGTAACACATTGTTATACCAATTTTTAAAAAAATTATGAATGCATATATGGTGCACAAGAAAAGTAGACTTTGAGTATCATACTTTTAAAGCACAGTATAGTTTGAATTGATTAGATGCCAAAGCACTGTATTTATTATGCAGTGACACTATAGATATGTTAAGTGGATATATTACACATCAACATTACCAGACTGAGCACTCATGATGGAAAATAAAAAGTCAGAAAAATTAGAAAATTTAAGATGGAAATCTCATCACAGCAGAACTTCCTCCCAAAAAAACCAAAAATGAAAATAAGCCTGCAACTAAAATAAGTTTCTGAGAGGTTCGTTTGTTAGCCAGGCAAGGAAAGTATTTTATGGGTAGTTATTGCAACAGCCAAAGAAATGTGTCCAGAGAAAGTAAACTTGTTTAAGATTAATAACCTTTCAGTAAGAATTGACAACATTTAGAACAACATGGCCAACTTAAATCAAGGCAAATGATTAGAATGTTTTCCCTTGGCTTATGATGACTAACAATTATTGATGCTTGCTATGGTTTGAATGTTTCAAAGTTCATTTATTGGAAACTTAATCCCCAGTGCCACAGTATTGAGAGGTGGGGCCTTTAAGAGGTAATTAAGTCATGAATAATTAAATGCTGTTATTGTGGGATTCATTCATTCTTTCGAGAGTGAGTTTGTTATAAAAACTAATTTGGCTCTCTCTTGCTCTCTCACACACACTGTCTTGCCGTGTGATGCTTTCCTCCGTGTTAAGACATTTCAAGAAGGCCCTTACCAGATGTAACCCCTTCATCTTGGATTTTCCAGCCTCCAGAACCATGACCAAAATTAACTTCTATTGTTTATAAATTACCCAGTCTGTAATATTGTTACAACAACATAAAGCAGATTAAAACAATACTGCTAAGTTGTTTATTTGAGAAGTCAATGATGAATTGGAAGTAACTGAAAAATTAGCCTCCATGAGTAGTTTGCATGGTGCCACTATAGGCAAGAATATTTTCAAAGAAGTTGAAAACACTAATTCATTACAGCCTGAGGTGGAATCTGCTAAGATATATTACAACTGATGATGGGGAAAATGTGGAATAGAATAAGTCTTAGTTTGACAAAATTTATGAAGCTTTTGAAAATATAGTTTTGTTTTGATTTTTTGAAAGCAGGATTTATTGAGAGGACAGAAAAGCTCCCACAGTGGGAGGGGACCCAAGGGGTTGCCTGAAAATACAGTTTTTTAAGTCTATGGTTATTCATTGTATTAGTCATCATTAGATAAATTGCAGAAAATATTTGAATTTACCATGTGTTCTTGAGCTAGTAGTAGCAAGGTAAATTCGATTCACTCTTGTGATAGACCCATGTGAATTTTTGTAGACACTAAAGATCCTAACTTGCCCTACCACACAATTCAATGGCTTAACGAAGCTTAGGTTGTTGTTGTTGAGATTGAAGCCAAGACTGAAACTTGTCTGAACAGAGCCACCTTCATTATTAAACGACTAGTGGCTTTGGAAATCGGCTTTTGCTGAGGACTTAGTTATATGAAGGGGGACCCCAAAAAACCCAGAATTATCTGACCCTTGTAGTACACTCAGAATTTGTTCTGGTCAATAAAAGTTTTTATCTGCAAGTTTTGAGAAGGTTGTGTCATGATTTGTGGAAGAAACATCCCACGTTGTGGCAAAACAGGTGACTGGTTCTTCCTCCATGACAGTGCACCTACCCACACCTTGCTGCCTGTTCAGCAATGTTTGACCAAAACCAGCATGACCCCATGATCCACCCTCCTATTCACCATTTCTTGCTCCGGGTGACTTTTTTTGTTTCCCTGAATGAAAAACATCCTCAAAGGGAAATGTTTTGCCAATGTGGAAAAGGCGAAACAAAAAAACACCAGAAGCACTAAAAGGCATCAAAATTGATGAGTTCAAAAACTATTCTGAGCAATGGAAAAAACATGTTGGTAAGCGTATTGCATCAAATGGCAAGTACTTTGAAGGTGATTGAAGTTTAAACATGTAAGAATAAATACACAATTTCTTAATACATTTCAGTTTTTGGGGGGTCCCCCCTTATACTTTTAGTGAATTTGACCTAAACTCATAAAGCAGAACATTGCTTATATGCAAAACTTATGCTGGAGTAAAGTTATTTTGACAACAGCTAACATTAGTTGAATCACACTGCTTTATACACCTTCCAGGCTATCAGAAGTTAAAACAAGAAGTAGTGTCTCTGTTCACATGCAAGTTTGCAGCAGATACATTTTCCAAGCCCATACTGTAGTGCCAGGGCATTTTTTGGACCTCTTTGCAAGCACAAAGGAAATTTGCATATTTCAAAATCCATTTAACTGTGCAATTGAGGAGCTTCCACTTAATCTTCATTTGGAAGTGATTAATCTGCAATGTAATGACGTGGTAAAAGGCAAATATCAAGAGAATGATTTAGCAAATTTATATTCTAGTCTGTTAATCTTCCAAGTAATGAATATGCTCAATTAAAACCCCATGCTCATGGCTTGATATCAGGATTTGGCAGTACTTATCTGTGTGAAAAGACATTTTCAAAGATGAAGTACCTCAAATCATGTTACAAATTAGCATTAGCAAATGAATATTTGCAATTAAACCCTAATTAAGTGAAATATCAAACCCCAAAATATTCCATTCTTCTGAGTATTAACTTCTAAGTAGACCTGCATTACAAAAAAGAACTCAGTTATTATATTTTGAATTTTACCAATAAAAAATTTATGGAAATGTTTTTCTCATGTTATAAAAGTAACTGTACAATAGCCTTTATTTTGTCTCTTGGCCTGCAAAGCTTAAAATATTTATTACCTGACCTTTTACAAAAACAAAAAACATTTTGCTAACCCCTGGCTTAAAGTAAGGGATCTGGAGCTTAAAGGAAAAAGTATGTAATAGATATCCTAGTACAGGGGTCCCCAAACTAACAGGTCCGTGGCATGTTAGGAACCAGGCCACACAGCAGGAGGTGAACAAGCAAAGCTTTATCTGCATTTACAGCCGCTTCCCATTGCTCTTATTACCGTCTGAGCTCCATCTTCTGTCAGATCAGCAGCAACATCAGATTCTCATAGGAGCTCTAACTCTTGCAAACTGCATACATGAGGGATCTAGGTTTCATGTTCCTTGTGAGTATCTGATGCCTGATGATCTGAGGTGGAGCTGAGGCAGTGATGCTAGTCCTGATGAGAGGCTGCAAATACAGATGAACATTAGCAGTGAGGTTTGACTGTACAGAGACCATAATAAGTTGCTTGCTTGCAGGCTCATGTCAAAACCCTATCAGTGAGTAACAAGTGAGTTGATGTACTTTAGTTGGACAACCGCATCTGTTGGCAAGATGTAAGTCAGAATCCCACACTTATTTTAGTCCACTTGTGGCCTACCCATTACCATTTCCATTTGCCACTTCCATCTGCACCTCTTTTTTTTAAATGGTGAGTTGTATAGATATTTCATTATATATGACAATGTAATAATAGAAATAAAGTGCACAATAAGTGTTATATACTTTAATCACACTGAAACTATCCCCTCCCTCTAATATTGTCTTCCATGATACTAGTCCCTGATGCCATAAAGTTTGGGGACTGCTGCCCTAATGAATGTATTGTTGATCTAACATAGTGTTCATTATAGGCTTTATTTGAGGGGGAAGACTTTTCTCCTGGCAAATAAATTTATGCAGTTTGCAAACCATATCCAGTGAAATATCTGCAATTTTCTTTGGTAAATTTTACTAACCTATTCTTAATTTTTAATTTGGCTTACAGACAACATCAACTGGGCAAGTGGTGAGGATGACCATGTAGTTGCTAGAGCAGAATATGATTTTGTTGGCGTATCTGAAGAAGAAATTTCTTTCCGGGCTGGTGATATGCTAAACTTAGCTCTCAAAGGTAACAAATCATGAATAAGTTGCTATTATCTTTGAATTTTTAATATTTATAAATGTAGGATTAAAAATTACAGCAAAGGGGTTTGTTCATTGTTGGTTAACTTTGAGGTAGTTACTAGAACTCTTTCATAGCCGAGCGTGGTGACTTAACGCCAGTAATCCCAGCACTTTGAGAGGTGGAGGCAAGGGGACCAGGTTCGAGACCAACCTGGGCAAATGGTGAGCCCTCATCTCTACAATAAATCAAAAAAATTAGCCAGACATGGTGGCGCAGTTCCAGCTAGGCTGAGGCAGAAGGATCACCTGAGCCCAGCAGGTCAAGGCTGCGGTGGCTGTGAGCGTGCCACTGCACTCCAGGCTGGGGGACAGAGTGAGACTCCGACTCAAAAAAAAAAAAAACTCTTTTATGTTTCATGTCAGTTTAGACCTTCCAAAACTGGGGGAGCCAAGGAAAAATGCCCCAACAGAGTTGTTCCAATAATATTTCACTGAGTTAGCCAGATGTGGTTTGGGAGGCTGAGGTGGGAGGATCACTTGAGGCCAGGAGTTTGAGACCAACCTGGGCAACATAGTGATACCTCGTCTCTACAAGAAAAACAAAAAATCTATCTGGATGTGGTGGCACATGCTTGTAGTCCCATCAGTGAGCTGTGATGGTGCCATTTGCATCCCAGCCTGGGTTACAGGATAAGAACCTGACTCAAAAAAAAAAAATTCACTGAGATAAGAACTGTTTATATAGGCTCTTCTAAGTTCAAAACACTTGAATTTTAAACTCTGCTAATCCTCACACAAAAACATGAGGTAAGTACTAAATGTAATAAATCTAATCTGCCAAAGGAATTATCTAGCATCATCTAAGCATCCTTGTCTGATCTTGATTGACACTCCAGTAATGAGTATCATAATTTTTGTGTGTTTTTTAACATATTTGTGGGGATTCAGGTTTATTGCAAAACACTACATTTTGTTAATATAGTACTAGTAATAATAACAGATGTCATTGATAATGTACTTACTATGTACAAGGTACTGTATTTTACATATTTCACTTAATCCTTAAAATAATACTGTGAAGTGGTACTATTATTATCCTTTCCTTGTTTTACACATGAGGAAACTAAGACTCAAAATAAACAAACTGTCCAGTAGCACAAAGCTAAGCTATGGTAGAACTGAGCTATGAATCTAGGCTTGCTTTACTTAAGAACCTGTGTTTTTAATCACTACGACTGTTCACATGGAATGTATTTTTATATTTTTGCCAAACATATGTTTAAAAAGCTGACTGCTTAAATGTATATATTTCTTTTCTTTCTTTTTTTTTGTTTTTGAGTTAGAGTCTCACTCCATTGCCCAGGCCTGAGTGCAGTGGCACGCTCACGGCTACCCCAGCGTCCCCTGCTAGGCTCAGGTGATCCTTCTGTCTCAGCCTTCCAAGTAGCCGGAACTACAGGTGCATGCTCCCATGCCAGCTAATTTTTTGATGTATTGTAGAGATGAGATTTTGCCAAGTTGTCCAGGCTGTTCTTGAACCTGTGGGCTCAGGCAGTCCCCCCCACCCCGGCCTCCCAAAGTGCTGGGACTACAAGCTTGAGCCACCACACTCAGCCTAAAGGTATATATTTCTATACGTATTCCTGGCTTACCCTATTCATTCCTTAGATTCTTTTTTTTTTTTTAAGAGACACGGTCTTGCTATGTTGCCCAGATAGTCTCAAACTCCTGACCTCAAACAATCTTTCTTCCCTCAGCCTCTTAAAACCCTGGGATTATAGGCATGAGCCACCCCACCTGGTCAGATTTAAAATGTGAAAGACATTGATGTTTTCAGTTTTGAGAAAACTAAATCTTCTTACCCTCTGAATGGACCAACTGATATAAATTTTATGTTCATCATGGTAGAAGGAAATATTTAGTACATATAAAATAAAAAATATAAATTATAAGGATAGACCCTAGAACTGTTAAGCCTACTCAGCATTTGATTTTGAATATATTATATAAGTGTAACAGATTTTTACTTAATATATCTTACCATCGGTATTATATGTACCTCGAAAGTATACCGTAATTACAAGACTGTCTTTTTTTCCATCAGAACAGCAACCCAAAGTGCGTGGTTGGCTTCTGGCTAGTCTAGATGGTCAAACAACAGGACTCATACCTGCAAATTATGTCAAAATTCTTGGTAAAAGAAGAGGTAGGAAAACGATGGAATCAAGTACAATTTCCAAGCAGCAACAATCTTTTACCAACCCAACGCTAAGTAAAGGAGCCACAGCTGCTGATGAACAGGAAGCTGCCTTTGAATCTGTTTTTGTTGAAACTAACAAGGTTCCAGTTGCATCTGATTCCACTGGGAAACGTGGAGATAAACAAGATCTTTGATATCTTTCATCTTTGCCTGCAGTTGAACAATACTTTACAGTACTTTTTAATATTATTTCTCATAAAGAAATTAATCTACAATCCAATGAAAATATTTGTTATTGGCTATTACAGGTGTTTTGCTGCTAGAGATTATAAAGTTGTACACTAGTATATTGGTCTAGTGACCTGGTTACATTTTACAAGTTATTGGACCATGAAGATATTTGTTTCACCTAGATTTGAAGATTATGGAGACTGTTATCATTTCATCTTATTTAAATCCCTAAGTTTACTGAAAGAGTAAGATTGACAAACTATATAGAATGCACAGTTTGCTACAATAGGGATCTTTAGTGCTTTTCAAAGTTCTAGCATAATTGACTTAGAATCCTCAGAAGTTGAGAACAGGCAAAAAGGCTAATTTTTTTACAACCTTAAATAATCTGAATAATAAAATTTTCTTATCTGCATAATATCCAGTGTTGGGTTTATATTTTTCACCCACAAACAACTAATGCTATTATATTTTATTATACTTTTAAAATTTTATCTTGGAGAGGTTACAAGAAGCATTCTGAAGGATATGGTTCTAGAATGATAGACTAATGGTTTCCTCTCTTAGTAAAAAGTCTGAAATGTATATTTCTTAAAAATTGTTACCATTTCTTCTGAGGATTATATAACTATCCCTTTATAATGTGACTGGTTTTCATCCTGGATTTATCAGAATATATGAAATGTTTATTTTCCTTTTCTTCAACCAAGACTCCAGTTCTCTGAGTTTGTATTTAATGACATAATCATTTCTAACAGTAATGATTTTTAATCTCTTCATAGATTCTCTGCTTCTACCTAATATAACTACTTTTTAAAATTCCATATTCAGGATGCTCTTAAACATTGAAAATGTGTCACATTAGATGGACATTTCTTTTAGGCTTAGTTTTTACTACTGAGACTATAAATTAAAGCTTAATTGCCATTTAGAATATGATAATGGTACTTGACATGTTTTTTTGTTCATAATGATTTTAAATACAGCTAACTTTTAGTATGCTGAATATTCCCCCAGAAAATTGGAAAGTTTGTATACTTGCTGTGATCATACTACACACAGAATACTACCAGAAATACAGATATACAAGAATACATTTGTAGAATTTGTTGAAAACTTGTGAATTGTTTGATAAAGATTAAGATTTAGTATTTTTGTCTTTCTTTAGAGTTTATTCTCACCAAACAAGTAATTCTACAACAGTTTCAAACTAAAACATACAGGAACTAAATATATACAAGCATAGAAGAACTTTACTAAAGGCTCCATGTGAAACCCTTTTCTGAAATGACAAATTTTTAATAAGTAACATCATTTAAAATAGAAATCTTACCCTGTGCAGAAAAAACTACTTAGAGTGAAATTTATTTATCTTAGGCCAGTTTTCTAACACCAAGTATTAGCCTTCAGGTTGGAAAAAAAAGTTTCTGGTATATTATTTTTCATTTGTGTTCTACAGTTGAAGGTTCTACTTTGATTTGTTAGAGAATTTATGAAAATTTTGTTCTTAAAGCAAATTTTTGATAAAATAAATTATTAAATTTGGTATTGAGACATCTAAATAGAATGCTAGAAATAAGGTAGAAGTGAAATGTTGGGACAGCTATATAAGTTAGAAAAGATGAATTATTGGGATAGAATTTGTAACTACCACTAAAGATGCTAAGGAGAGGATTATAGCACAAAGTGAATGATAAGACAGTTTCACCTGATGTGTATTATTTGATTAAATATGCTAAATTACATGTGTGATATTCTGTCTGAAAATTTCCTTTCTATTAAAATTCAAGAAAAGTAACTTAAGACTAGAATAAGCAGAGAAATTTTGTGACTTTTTTTTATTATGACAGTTTTAGAATAATTTTTTTTTAGAGTAAGTGTAATGTTCAAGGCTCCAATATTATTTTTAGGAACTTATTTAAGGAGTATAAATTTGCAGAAATTACTAACTAAAACTCAAACATTTTCAGTTAAATAAAATAAATCATAATTACAAGAATAAAACATGTTTCTTTTACTTTTTCTGATTGTATTTTATCAGTTCAGAAAGGAAATGGTAAAATAACTATAAATTTTCATGTTTTAGCCTTTAGGTACTTGATTTAGACTGTCAGTGTGTCATTACACATTTATTTGAACACAGCTGTTCTTTAATGGAAAAACAAAAGCAACTGAATCCAGTTATATTTTTATTTTAAATACATTGTGAAGTTACTTTTACTGAAAAAATAAAAATTTATTAAACTTGATTGACTTTAAAAAATAAACTGTTAACTCTTACAGGTTTAGAAATAACATAAAATCTCTTTTTCTTTATATCATTGTATATATTACTTACTGAAAACCAATGTGTCTGTTCTATTTCTTTGTAATTTAAAGAAAAATATTACATTTATATAAAAATCACCTACAGGTGAATTAAATAAAATTAAGCCTTCAAGTCTAGATACCACTATTTACTATAAGATTTAAGTCCCATTGTTTGTTTCTCAGTTTCCTCATTGATAAGATTGGGGATAGCTGCTACATCTGCCTCACATGAGAGTGCTTTTTAAAAAACATATAGCACAATCAAAAGTAAGATGTTAGGGAAAGTATATGCTTTATAAGTTTTTCCATGTGTACTTTTTAAATCCTGTAAATGTGTCACAGGGCATATCAGTCTAGAATTTTAGATTCACACATATTTAATTAAAATTAGTTCACTTTTATTTATAAAATGTAATTTAAACTTATTTTCCCCAAATATCAGAATAGTCTACCTTAGAAAAGTGCATTGGAATATTTGTTCAATACAAGAAACTCTATTTTCTCAGTATTTCTGGAAAACATCCTTTTACATTGTATAGCTTTTTATTTAGTGTATCTTTCTAGGGAAAATTAACTTTCTTTTAAGGTTAACTAACTCATGAATCCTGTAGGGTTCTTACTACAGTTTACCTCATATATAGTTTTTCACATTTTAAGAGATAATGTTAAGTAAGCTAACTTAAGTCTTAAAAGTGTTCTGCTCATGTAAAATAAGTGTTTTGCTTTATTATTTAAGGACCTCAAGTATCCGGAATTGAGTCAGTCATTAATCTTACTCTTCATTAATGACACCAATATTTTTGTTTCAAAAAGATATGCTTGTGTTCTATTTTATTTTACCTGAGTAGTTTTATTCATTTCTTGCCTGCAGTTCCATTCTTCACATCCCCTACTTAAAGTTTCTTCTTCTAAGTCATCATTCATATTTTGGATATATTTCCTTGAAAAAAAAAATAATGATACTTATTTTATGTAAGTCTTAAAATTTTATATAAATGATATTTTGGTATAAATTGTATTCTGCTTCTAACTTTCAAAAATATTAAGTTTTGAAGACCTTCCATGTTATTTATATAAATGCCTCTGGTGCATATTATTCTATTGTGTTCACATACCAAAGCTTATCTTTTCCTCTTAAGCACTTAGGTTGTTCCCAGCTATTGTCATTTGTACAAGCTTGTATATGTCTTCCTATGAATCTGCCCTTTCATTTCTTTGATATATATGTCCTAGAGTAGAATGACTGGTGCAGTAAGTCCCCTACATACAAACCTTCAAATTGTGAACTTTCAAAGATGTGAATGTGATGCCAGCCCCTGTATATTAGCTGTTGTACTGTACTGAACTACTATACTTTTCAAGGTACTGTACTGTCAGAGTAAAAATGTTTTCTTTATTTTTTTTGTTTTTTATGTATTATTCGTGTGAATGGTATTATAAACCTATTACAATATAGTACTATATAACCGAATGTGTTAGTTGGGTATTGGGCTAACTTTGTTGGACTTATGAACAAATTGGGCTTACAAACACACTCTTGGAACAGAATTCATTTGTATGTAGGAGACTTATATACACTTTGTGTGTGTGTGTGGAGTGCAGCAGAAGTGAGACTTTAGTGACAGTCTTGCATGTTTGATTTAAGTAAATAATGTTGGATTGTTCTCAGGAATGGTTATACCAGTTTTCCTTTCTACCAGCAAGACATGCGGGTTTCATTTTCTCTACATCTTCAGCAGAATTTGATATTTTCTGACTTTTGCTAATCTGGTGTGTGTAAAATTGTATTTTTTCTTAATCTGCATTATCTGATATCTAATGATGGTAAGCATGTGTGTTTGCTCATTCTGATATTTGATTCTGTGTATTACCTTTACTTATAATTTTCTCCTTTTTTCATTAAGTTTTTCTCTTTGTTGCTGATTACAGTTCAAGAAATTCTTTGTTCTAGATATCATTTCCTTGTCAGATTCAGATGTTGGGAAATAACTTGGTCTTGTCATTTGTTAATTCTTTTTTTTTTTTTTTTTTTGAGTTGGAGTCTCTCTTTGTCACCCAGACTGGAGTGCAGTGACGGCTCCCAGCCACCGCAGCCTCGACCTGCTGGGCTCCGGTGATCCTTCTGCCTCAGCCTTCCAACTAGCTGGAACTACAGGCACGCGCTACCACACCCGGCTAATTTTTTTTTTTTTTTTTTTTATTGTAGAGATGAGGTCTTGCCAAGTTGCCCACGCGGGTCTCGAACCTGTGGGCTCAGGCAATTCACTCACCTCAGCCTCCCAAGGCGCGGGATTACAGGCTGAGCCACCGAGCCCGGCTTGTTAATTCTTGTCTTTGATGATTTTCATTGAACAGAAAATCCCCCCTCCACCTACCCCTGCAATTATTTGTACTTTTTAGGTCTTGTCCTTCTATCAGTTTGAAAGTTTTACTATTTATATTAGGGTCTTTAATTTAATTATAATTAATTTTTGGATATATTATGAGGTGTGAATTAAGCTTTTCTCCATCTAGCCATTAAGAAGAAAGGGTTAACAACACCCCTTCTGTCTCTCTGGAGAGAAATGACCTTGGATTTACTTTTTTCTTAGCACTATTTCCTTGGAAATCTATGGGGTTAAGATAAACATAGAATGTCAGATGTTTTCCAAGTAACTTTTTTTTATTGTAAAAAGAGAAAGCACAGATTTTAAGACTTCTTTGAGTAAGGTATGACTCTGGTAACAAGCTTGTTTCTTGTTGCGGGGACCTGGAACCTACCTTCAGTGGTTTTAACAAGTCATTGCTTCTGGGCATGATGGCTCACACTTAGTATTCCAGCACTTTAGGAGGCCAAGGCAGGAGGATTGCTTGAGCCCAGGAGTTCAAGACTAGCCTGGGCAACATAATGAGACCTCATCGTTACAAAAAATTTTTAAAATTGCCAGTCATGGTAGTGCATTCCTGTAGTCCCAGCTACTCAGGAGGCTAAAGCGGGAGGATCGCCTGAGCCTAGGAGTTTGAGGCTGCAGTGAACCATGATCATGCCATTGCACTCCAGACAGGGCAATAGAGTAAGACCCTGACTCAAAAAATAAAAAGATAGTGCTTCCTTTGGTATATGAGG